GAGACGGGAAGAGAGACGAGGAAGACAGGGAAGCAAATAGAATAGGAGACGCACTGACAAACCCACCCACAGCTCGGGACCCCCCCCCGGGAGCCCCCCAGGACCCCCCACCGAGATCCCCCCCCGAGATCCCCCCCCGGACCACTCCCCCGGGACCCCGCCGGGACCCCCCCCCTCCCGAGATGCCCCCGGGACCCCCCGCGGGACCCCCCCCGTGACCCCCCGAGATCCCCCCCGGGACCCCCCCCCCTAGATCCCCCCGGGACCCCCCCCCCGGGACCCCCGGGCTCACACTGCGATGGGCCGCTGACCAGTCTCACCGGAAAGACCGAATGAGAGGATACGGTCACTATTTGAGCGATACGGTCTGACACACCCTATGGATCTGCTGCGATTGTTGTATTTATTTCAGAGGCTCTGATTAAAGGACCATTTAATGAGATAATTTAATCGATTTCATCATTAGAGACGCGTTTATCGGACGACAGAAATAGCTTTAGTAGAGAGGACATCTGGATATCAATATCTGCCCTCCCCCCCCCACACACAAACCTTACCCCATACCCCCCCCCCACAAACCTTACCCCCATACCCCCCCCCCCACAAACCTTACCCCCATACCCCCCCCCCACACACAAACCCTTACCCCCACACCCCCCCCCACACACAAACCTTACCCCCATACCCCCCCCCACACAAACCTTACCCCCATACCCCCCCACACAAACCTTACCCCATACCCCCCCCCCACACACAAACCTTACCCCCACCCCCCCCACACACACACAAACCTTACCCCACACCCCCCCACACACAAACCTTACCCCCACCCCCCACACACACACAAACCTTACCCCCCCTCCACACACACAAACCTTACCCCACACCCCCACACACACAAACCTTACCCCCACACCCCCCCCCCACACACACAAACCTTACCCCCACCCCCCACACACACACACAAACCTTAACCCCCCCACACACACACACAAACCTTACCCCCACACCCCCCCACACACACAAACCCTTACCCCCACCTCCCCCAACACACACAAACCTTACCCCCACCCCCCCCACACACACAAATCTTACCCCCCCACACACACACACAAACCTTACCCCCACCCCCCCCCACACACACACAAATCTTACCCCCCCACACACACACAAACCCTTACCCCCCCCCACACACAAACCTTACCCCCCCCACACACACAAACCCTTACCCCCCCACACACACACACACACAAACCTTACCCCCACGCCCCCACACACACAAACCTTACCCCCCCCCCCACACACACAAACTTTACCCCCCACACACACACACAAACCTTAACCCCCCCCCCAACACACACACAACCTTAACCCCTCCCCAACACACACACAAACCTTAACCCCTCCCCAACACACACACAAACCTTACCCCCCCAACACACACACACAAACCTTAACCCCTCCCCAACACACACACAAACCTTACCCCCCAACACACACACAAACCTTACCCCCAACACACACACAAACCCTTACCCCCCCCACACACACACACACACACAAACCTTACCCCCACCCCCCCCCCCCACACACACAAACCTTACCCCCAACACACACACAAACCTTACCCCCAACACATACACACAAACCTTACCCCCCTTCCCCCAATACACACACACAAACCTTTACTTACACACACACATATATATATAATTCCCGACATCAGTGCTGTCTCTGTCAGACGGGGGTGAGAGGGGGGTTCGAGCTGCTGTTGACACTGCGAACAATGTGAGGATGACATTGTATTGTGTCTCACACTGAGCCTCCGGGACATCTCACACCTTTGTTCTTCCCACATCCCCCTCTCACCCCCCCTCCCCCCCCACACACACACACTCACACAGACAATCATACACACTCACACACACACACTCACACACACACACACACACACACACACACACAGACAATCATACACACTCACACACACACACACACTCACACACACACACACACTCACACACACACACACACACTCACACACACAGACAATCATACACACACACCCACACACACTCACACACACACACAGACAATCATACACACACACCCACACACACTCACACACACACACAGACAATCATACACACTCACACACACCCACTCACACACACTCACACACACACACTCTCACACACAGACAATCATACACACTCACACACACACACACACTCACACAGACAATCATACACACTCACACACACACACTCACACACACACACAGACAATCATATACACACACCCACACACACTCACACACACACACAGACAATCATACACACTCACACACACCCACTCACACACACTCACACACACACACTCTCACACACACACACACACCCACACACACACACACACCTACTCACACCCACACACACCCACACACCCACACTGGCTGCTGTGTGAAGTGTTGGCTGTGAGATGAAACGGATGGAATTGTATTTTCATCCTTTAAAACAATAAGGCGGTGGAACTGAGCCGCTGCTGTGAAGGAAAGCCACTTGTTGAGTGTCGGTATTCGGCGGATCCCTCCCTCCACCCTACCCGGGGGGGCACCAGCCCGGCAGTGCTGGGGTAGGGGCAGTGCTGGGGTAGGGGGCAGTGCTGGGGTAGGGGGCAGTGCTGGGTAGGGGGCAGTGCTGGGGTAGGGGCAGTGCTGGGGTAGGGGGCAGTGCTGGGGTAGGGGGCAGTGCTGGGGTAGGGGGCAGTACTGGGGTAGGGGGCAGTGCTGGGGTAGGGGGCAGTGCTGGGGTTGGGGGCAGTGCTGGGGTTGGGGTTGGGGGCAGTGCTGGGGTTGGGGCAGTGCTGGGGGTTGGGGCAGTGCTGGGGTTGGGGCAGTGCTGGGGGTGGGGGCAGTGCTGGGGTTGGGGGCAGTGCTGGGGTTGGGGGCAGTGCTGGGGTTGGGGCAGTCCTGGGGTTGGGGGCAGTGCTGGGGTTGGGGGCAGTGTTGGGGTTGGGGGCAGTGCTGGGGTTGGGGCAGTGCTGGGGGTTGGGGCAGTGCTGGGGTTGGGGCAGTGCTGGGGGTTGGGGCAGTGCTGGGGGTTGGGGCAGTGTTGGGGTGGGGGCAGTGCTGGGGCTGGGGTTGGGGCAGTGCTGGGGTAGGGGGCAGTGCTGGGATTGGGGTAGGGGCAGTGCTGGGGTTGGGGCCAGTGCTGGGTTGGGGGCAGTGCTGGGGTTGGGGCAGTGCTGGGGTTGGGGTAGGGGGCAGTGCTGGGGTTGGGGGCAGTGCTGGGGTTGGGTAGGGGGCAGTGCTGGGGTTGGGGGCAGTGCTGGGGTTGGGGTTGGGGGCAGTGCTGGGGTTGGGGCAGTGTTGGGGTTGGGGGCAGTGCTGGGGTGGGGGGCAGTGCTGGGGTAGGGGCAGTGCTGGGGTTGGGGCAGTGCTGGGGTTGGGGCAGTGTTGGGGTTGGGGGCAGTGCTGGGGTGGGGGCAGTGCTGGGTGGGGGGCAGTGTTGGGGTTGGGGGCAGTGTTGGGGTGGGGGCAGTGCTGGGGTAGGGGGCAGTGCTGGGGTTGGGGGCAGTGCTGGGGTTGGGGTTGGGGGCAGTGCTGAGGTTGGGGGCAGTGTTGGGGTTGGGGGCAGTGCTGGGGTGGGGGGCAGTGCTGGGGTTGGGGGCAGTGCTGGGGTTGGGGGCAGTGTTGGGGTTGGGGGCAGTGCTGGGGTTGGGGGCAGTGCTGGGGTTGGGGGCAGTGTTGGGGTTGGGGGCAGTGCTGGGGTGGGGGGCAGTGCTGGGGTAGGGGGCAGTGCTGGGGTTGGGGGCAGTGCTGGGGTTGGGGGCAGTGTTGGGGTTGGGGCAGTGCTGGGGTTGGGGGCAGTGCTGGGGTTGGGGGCAGTGTTGGGGTTGGGGCAGTCCTGGGTTGGGGGCAGTGCTGGGGTGGGGGCAGTGTTGGGGTTGGGGGCAGTGTTGGGTTGGGGCAGTGCTGGGGTGGGGGGCAGTGCTGGGGTTGGGGCAGTGTTGGGGTTGGGGCAGTGTTGGGGTGGGGGGCAGTGCTGGGGTTGGGGCAGTGCTGGGTTGGGGGCAGTGCTGGGGTTGGGTTGGGGTCAGTGTTGGGGTTGGGGTTGGGGTCAGTGTTGGGGTTGGGGTCAGTGTTGGGGTTGGGGTTGGGGTCAGTGTTGGGGTTGGGGTCAGTGTTGGGGTTGGGGGCAGTGCTGGGGTTGGGGTTGGGGGCAGTGTTGGGGTTGGGGGCAGTGCTGGGGTTGGGGTGGGGGGCAGTGCTGGGGTTGGGGGCAGTGCTGGGGTTGGGGTGGGGGGCAGTGCTGGGGTTGGGGTTGGGGGCAGTGTTGGGGTTGGGGGCAGTGCTGGGGTTGGGGTCGGGGCTGATCTGAACCCAAACTGAAGGGGAAGGGGCGGGGCTGTGGGCGGGGCTATGCTCATTGAAGAGGCGTGGCCGGATGATGGCCCCGCCCCTCGCTGATCACGTGGTGACCGAGTGGATACACAGTGATACACTTAGAGAGGAGATACATTCAGAGAGAAGACACAGAGAGAGAGAGAGAGAGGGAGGATCAGAGAGAGGGGGAGAGAAAAGAAGCAGAGAGAGAAAGAGAGAAGACAGAGAGGAGGAGAGATAAGGAATCGAGAGAGAGAACAGAGAGGAGAGACAAGGAGCAGAGAGAAGACAGAGAGAGAAGGAGCAGAGAGAAGACAGAGAGAGAGAGAAGGAGCAGAGAGAAGACAGAGAGAGAGAGAGAAGGAGCAGAGAGAAGACAGAGAGAGAGAGAAGACAGCGCGGAGGAGAGACAAGGAGCAGAGAGACAGACAGAGAGAGAGAGAAGGAGCAGAGAGACAGACAGAGAGAGAGAGAGAGAGGGAGCAGAGAGAGAGAGAGAGAGAGGAGCAGAGAGAGAGAGAGAGAAGGAGCAGAGAGAGACGAGCAGAGAGAGAAAGAGAAGACAGAGAGGAGAGACAAGGAACAGACAGACAGAGAGAGAGACAGACAGACAGAGAGAGACAGACAGAGAGAGAGAGAGAGGACACAGAGAGACGAAGCGGAGAACCAGCGGAGTGTTTCTGTTCCCGAAGAGAGGACCGACCATAGGAAGCTGTGCTCCCCCCACCCCGGGGCTGGGGATGGAGGAGGGACAGTGCCAGACAGCCCGACACGGGGGCTGAGGAGGAGGCAGCAGAGAGAGAGAGAGACAGACAGAGACAGAGAGAGAGAGCGCGGGGGGTGAAGCCCGGTGTGGTTGGCAAGTTTGACGGCACCTTTGGCTACTGGTTGCAGGAGAGGCAAAGCGGACGGTGAGGGACTCGGAGGGTGTGGTGTGTCCCAGTTATGAGGGGCCGCCTTGGCCGCCTGGCCGCCCTGGGGGTGCTCTCCCTGCTGGGGCTGTGGGGGCTTTGCCTGGACCCTCGACCGCTCACCCTCCCCTCTCCCCGGCCCCGGAACCACCCACCGCGCCCTCCAGCCAACGCCAGAACTTTTCGCACTTTGCTGTCCTTCCCCGGGGAGAGGAGCCCGAGAAGCGCTCACAGCGACTCCACCTCACCCTCCGGGGCAGGGGATGGACAGAGACCCTTCCCCGGCCCCGGGGTGACTGAACACGGCGTGTTTTGGAGCGACGGACTGTCCGGCTCCATCCCAAGTGGCTACTCGGAGGCTGAGGTCAAGCAGTGGCTACACGCGGCCCGGACATCTCGCCTGGTGGCCCTGGAGACGGGCTGTGGGAGAACTCCCAACAGGTTGGCCAGGTTTGAGGATGGCACCAGAGCCTGCCTGAGGTATGGCATCAACCCCGACCAGATCCTGGGAGAGACTCTGTCCTTCTACCTGTCCAGGCTGCTGGGCATCAGGAACGTGCCAGCCATGGCGCTCTCTCTCGTGGACACCAACGCAGAGCAGTGGGCGAGGGTGAGGCAAGAGGTGGAGGGGTCTCAGTGGGCAGAGAGGACTATCGTCAGTCTCACCCAATGGGTCAACAACCTCAGCGAGGTGGTCCCGCCCAACGCCCTGAGGGTCGGCAAGAGACGCCTCCATCCCCTCAAGGAAGACTTGGACAACGCGACTAGGGAGGAGTTGAGGGACCTGGTTCAATGGTCGGATCTCATTCTCTTTGACTACCTGACAGCCAACTTTGACCGGCTGGCCAGCAACGTGCTGAGCTTGCAGTGGGACCCCGGGCGCTGGAGAGACCCACTCACAACCTGCACCGCACCCCCCAGGGGGTGCTCCTCTTCATAGACAACGAGGCGGGTCTGGTGCATGGCTACCGCGTGCTGCCCATGTGGGACAGGCACCACGAGCTGTTGCTCAAGTCGCTGTGTGTCTTCCGCAGGGAGACGGCTCGAAGGGTGGCAGAACTTCACAAGCGTCAGAACATGGCGGTGCAGTTACTGGAGCTGTACCGGGCCAGCGAGCCCCTGGCCCCCCACATGGGCTTCCTGTCTGAGGACCAGGCCCGGGTGCTACAGAGCAGGGCTGATCATGTGTACAGACACATCCTGCAGTGTAAAGCCAGATACAGCCCATGAGAGGTGGTCTGTGACTGTCCCAGGTGTCTGGCGTTGGGAGTTTCCCTGGTTGGAAGAGGTGAGGTGCCCCCATCTCTCTGGGCAAAGTTGAGGACAGATACTGGGCAAGGAAAGCCGAGGCAGGGGCTTGAGTTTATGCCATCAGCTGTGCTCTGAAGCTCAGGGGTGGGGAGGGCAGGTGAGGGGTTTGGGTGAGGGCATCGCCCACTGAGCGCTCCCAAAGCCAAGCCTTCAGACAGCCAACGCACCCCCTCCCTCTGTGGCTTTCTGTAACGTGATGAAACTTTGGGTTTTGAAGGGTGATTGGTGTGTTCTGTCCAACCCTTTAGTTTTCTTTTACCAGCAAATAACTTGCTTTCCGAGAGTCTTAGCTGATACCTCGCATCACTTCCAGGTGTTACCCCTGCCTCTGATCCAGCCACTCACTTCCCTTGCATCGATAGAGCGGGGATGGTGGGATGGGGGGGTTGTGTCTAGCTACGGTAATGGCACTAGCTTCATTGGCTTAGCCTGTCAACGGGTGGGGGTGGGGGGGGGTGCAAACTCACCCCCTCCTGGCCTCAGCGTCTCACAGGAGGGTGTGAGCGAGCCAAGCCAGACTCTGGTTATACAGGGTTAATAGAATCACTCTTTTACTAAATTGCGGGGATAAAGCTGTGATCATTTCACAATGTAACCTTGACGCTTGGATAAGGTATCGAGTCTTGTGGTGGGGGGGTGTTGCTGAGCTGTTCCCCTCACCAGGGGACAGTGACCTGCTCTCGCCGCCTGACTGACAGCCCATCAATAACACCACCTGGAGGTGATTTCAGAATCTGGGGGGAGGGGGGGGTTAACCCTTTGAAAGCAGCAGCTATGGCGCATCAGTGTGTGTGTCTCTCGCTTTTCAGAGACACATACACACACTGGTGCGTCACCGCTACTGCCCACAAAAGTCAATTCACTTTACAGTGTATTCTGTGAAGTGCTTTGAGATATCTCAAAGTCGTGATAAGGTGCTATATCAAATGGAAGGATTATTACCGTTGTACCGGTGGAAACAGAGCTGATTATTATAATAATTTTAATAATCCTTGCATTCAAAGCGCATCAAAGAATATGCTGTAAAGTGGAGTGACTGTGTATTTTGTGAGCGAAAAGCTTGAGACTGGTGAAGTTAGAGGCTGGAGGCAGGGCGAGGCAAGTGAGCACACGGTATGATTGAATTCTATTGATTCTATGAACAATGCTGGTTTGAGTTGATAGTTGAGGGCCCAAGACTTTATCCGCCGTCTCCTTTGAAGTGCGGAACTGAAGAGAAGGGAATTTCCACCATTTCTGTCAGTGTCGTCAAGTCCGAGCGCGCTCAGAAATTGTGGAATTCTTGCACATGGCAGAACGAGGCGATGGGAGGTCGCAAACCAGATGTTCCTTTCAGAAAATTACACTGCCCCTTTAAGAGTTTTTTTTTAATATACTGTATATAAAGCGATTTATTCAAAGGTGTCTTTTCAAAAAAGGGAAAACAAACAAAAAAAAAGTGATTTCTATTTTAGAATGTGTCTGGTCTGGCTTGGTTCGGTTCGGTACGGTTGGAAGCCTGACATTTCCACCTGCTGCAGACTTGACAGTGTGGGAAGAATGAGGAGGGGAACCAGAGGGTTTAACAGGAACAATCGGTGGATTAGCATTTGAAAAGGAGGGAAGGGAGGGAGAGAGCGCATTCATCTGCCGTTGGCTATTGTGTGTGGCAGCTGTAGATTTAAAGGAGCCACACACTCACACGGCACTATAATAAGAATATAAAGTAAAATAAGTCCTTGCATTTGATACCGCCGTATCACATCGGCAAGATGTCCCAAAGCGTTTCACAGGATGTACTGTAAAGTGAATTGACTTTGTATTTTGTGAGCGAAAAGTGGCAGTCTGTTGCGCACAGCAGTGTCCTACGAAATGTAACCTGTGATGTTCCCACAGCCTGACTGACACATTTGGTCCAATTTGCTCTGGGGGGAAATTGCCTGGAATTGCAGGAAAATTCTCTCGACCATCGAGAGAATTGGGAATTTTTTCCCTTTTAAGTTTTAATTAAGCCAGCTTCCAAATTGAGCATGGATTTAGGAATTTCTCCAGTTTTACGTGACATTAAACGTGTTTTTTTTAAGATAAATGGTTCCCCCCCCCCCCACACCGCACCCCGCCGACCTTGACCTCGCCCCCACTATTACTTGAGTTGCATCTGACCTGACGCACCTCCCCCCCCCCACCAATCTCTCTGAGCAGTGGTTGCCTGAGAGCTCAGAAGTTGTGGAATTTCTCCTCACTAACCCCCTCCGCATGATAAAATCCTAAACAGCGCTGCTTGCTGCCTCGTGACATTACATCACTCGACTGGACAAAGAGAGAATGTGATAGCAATCTGTGTATGGAGATCAGCCTCTGATACAGTGCCAGCTCCCAGACTCCCACAACACAATCCGCTCGGAAGAAAGAGACTTGTTTATCAGCTTCTCACATTAAAAAAGATCAGCGCGTGTGGAAAGGACTCTACGGTTATACCTCTATAAAGACTCCCAAACGCACTCACACTAAAAGTGATGTAAAAGTCAGACTCGCACAATAAAACATGTAATTCAGATCTCAGAGAGCGGTGCCTCAGTCACAACATTTAATACCCGGTTTGTGTTTATCGTGAATGGAGGGTGGTGTTTGGGGCTCTGACACTGTCCACTAATCGCACATGGAAGTGTGTGTGTGTGTATGTGTCGGTCACTCGAGGCAGGGAATACTCCCACTCAGCTCGTTAACCCTGCACTCCAAAGTCCTAACTGGTAGGGTGGTCCTAGCTGGACAAGCAGTGGGAAAGCTTGCCAGACAGCGCTGTCAATGACAAGCTATGCGGTTTTAGCTGGTTTGACTCCAGCCGTTATCCCAACACACACCCTGGGGTCCCCACAAGGCTTGGTTCCTGTCAAGCTGCACCTAATATTCCCTGGAATTAGGTAACCAGGAAACATCCCTCCAGGGAGAGAGAGAGAGTGCGCACTCCATTCTAACAATCTATCTCTGGGATCTCCGTGTGGGATGCGCGGAATTTTCAGCTTGGTTTGGATAGTCTTAAGCAACGGTGACGGGTTTCCGCGTGTGCCAGACACCTGGCTGGGCAAAAAAAAAAGAGATGAGAGTAGGTGAGGGTTCAGAGCACAGCTCTGGCTGTGACTGAGAGGAGCTGAATCTCAGTGTCACACTGAGTGCTGTGTAGCAGCGACTTGTAAAATGTATGTTACCATGCAATTAGGTTTGAAAGGAGAACTGAGGGGTGAGAGCCAAAATTATAGAGTAGTCAAAGCGAAGCTGTAATGCAAACAGAATAAGATTCTTATATGTATATATAAATACACTCTGACTCGCGTGTCTTTTATGCCTCAAGCAATGCCAGGGCACAGGTTTGAGACGGTCTGCTGCAAAGTCAGGATGTGGGACTGAATGCCTGTAATTGGTATGAATCATGTTTGACACAGGTTTCAGCCGTCTTTTGTACAGAAGATACAAAAGTTATTTTGTTCTCACTCTTACCTTTCTGGCCTTAGCTCTCTCACTGTTATATTCACCTTTTCCTTCACCCTCATGTCAAACAAGACAGTCGAGGCTTGAAATTCCACCTATTCTTAGCTTGTAAGACCACCGCCCTCCTAAATCGTCGATTGGGCGCAATTGTGGAAAATCCTTCCACTCGGTGTGAATTTGGAAACTCGTTTTATATTTTAATACTAATTCTTGCATTTGACACAGCGCCTTATCACATCATTGAGGTGTCTCGAAGCTCCTCACAAGATTTTACTGCAAAACTGTGTATTTGTAGGTGAACGCTGCAGCCAATTTGTGCACAGCACAACAACCTGTTTTCCATTGGTTTTAAACTTATTGCAATAATCCTTGCATTTTATATATCATGTCGTCGAGACATCTCAAAAGAGCTTCACGGAATATGCTGTAAAGTGGATTGATTATATACTTTGTTGGCGAAACGTGGCAGCCAATTGTGTACAGCAGTGTCACACAAACAGTCGTGGATTGAGTGACCAAATTTGTTTGGAGTATTGTCGGCCAGGACATGGGAGAGAAACTCCCTTCTCTTTTCGAATAGTGCCGTGGGAACTTTAACATCCACCTGAACAGGCAGATGGGACGTCGGTTTAATGTCATCCGAAGGTCAGCACCGCCAACAATGCAACACACCCCACCACTACATTGGTGGTCAGCCTGGATTATATGATTCCAAGTCCTGACGTGGGGCTTGAACCCACAACCTTCCGACTCAGAGACGAGAGTGCTGCGCCAGGCTGACCCCAAAAAATAAATTCCAAGGTGGAGTTTAGGAAAGTTTCACAACCCTGCTCAATCTTACATTCCAAGATGAATGGTCTCGAGGCTGGGACTGGGTGATTTCAGGTCTCAGGTGTGCAAAACTGACACCTCATTCACCCAGGAGGAAACCACGTGTAGATCTACATACGTGTTTCACATCAGATACAAAATGACATTTTCTGGGATCATTAGAATTGTACAGTCTTTCCCTTGTGCACCTTATTTTCTTGGTTTATATGTTTCTATGTTTTTAAAGCAGACAGATCATTGTACGAAGATATCGGTTGACTAAAATATCATCTGTGGAAAATAAAATTCAACAAAGATTTGCCTTTTTCTTTGCCTGCCTGAAAGTTTGGTCAGGGCACGTCTGAGAATATACTGTAAAGTGAATTGACTTTATGTTTTGCGGAAGAAACGCAGCAGCCAATTACGCACAACAACTTGCATTTAAATAGCACCCCTCACACAGGGTAGCATCCCAGAGCGCTTGACAGTGGCGGAGCACGACCCCGAGCCACGGAGAGGGGGAGATGACTTTAGACACGGTCGAAGAGGAAGGTCTACAGGCGCGACCTGAAGATGGGAGAGGAAGGGGCAAGATGGAGGGATAGAGTAAGAGTATTGCAGAGTTTGGGGGAATACTGGCTGAAAGCGCGGCTACCGCTGGTGGAACGGAGGGTATGAGAGACATGCAGGAGGCCGGAGCCAGTCGAATGGAGGTAGTGGCCAGTGGGTTTCAGGTCAGAGAGGTAGGTGACAGGGCATGAAGGGATTTGAAAACTAGTGTGAAGATCTTGAAATCGATCCATTCAGCATTAGGGAGCCAGTGAAGCCTGACTAGAACTGGTGTGATGGGGGTACGGAGATTAGTGCACGTGAGTAAGCAGGCGGCAGAGTTTTGGATTAGCTGGATCTTGCGCATGGTGGAGCTGGGGAGATTGACGAAGAGTTATTTGAAAAGACGAGTCAGGAGATGACGAATACATGGACAAGGGTTTCGGCTGGGTCTGTGGTAAGGTATGGTCGGAGGTTGGCAGTGTGGCAGCAGTGGAGGAAGGCAGTCCTGTTGGGACCAGATCTAGAAAGGAAAGACAGTTGTAGGTCAAACCTGATGTCTAGGTTGCGCACTGGTACATCATTTAAGGGATCAGCCAGGGAGGTTGAGGAGGACAGAAGACGTTGACCGGAGCCAAGGAGTGTTGTCTTACAACATCTTGTCTTGTCTTACAACATTTAGTTGTAAGAAGTTTGCACTCATCCACACCCTGATGTCTGCCAGACAAGCCAACAAAACATCGGCGGACCTGGATTCACAGCTGGAGGAGGAGAAGTAGATTTATGTGACATCCACACGCATAGAATCAGAATTATACAGTACAGAAAGAGGGTATTTGGCCCATCATTCTGTGCTGGCTCTTTGAAAAGAGCTATCCAATTCAATCCCACTCCCACGCTCTCTCCCCATGGCCCTGGAAACTTGTTCTCCCAAAATAATTATCTACTTCTCTCTTAAGTTGTTATCAAATTGGCTTCCACCACCCTTTCAGGCAATGCATTCCAGATCCAATCAACTCGCTGTGTGAAACAATTTCTCCTCACCTCCCCTCTATTTCTTTTAACAACTATT